CACAAGATAATAAGTGTGCGGACCATTTTCATTTATATAGTGCTCTGTGAACACAAATTAGTTAGGATGAATCAGTTAAATGACGAAAAATTAGGTGTCTATTTACTTGTAACCACTCAGTATAGATTTTGAGTGTTCTATGTCAGTATGAAAACTAGACCTCCAAGTAGACTGTAAGTTAAACTAATACATATACAAGCATGAAGTACACTATACAAATATATAAACTGGAAAACATGAAATATTAATTTTAAGTATTCAAAACGCTTTGTTTGTTATTGATATTGCAGTGCATTTATGCAGTTAATCATAATGATAACACATAAATTAATATATTGTTAAGAAATATAGAGAATCAAATAGCAATTTTATTTGTTTCTTAATGCGTAAGATATGTATCTGGCGTTGAAATGTTTTATGTTAGTACTAAAAATACGCCTCTAGGTAGACGGTAAGTTAAAACTAGTGTATGGTTATGATCTCATCGTCCATCTTTTAGTGACACATTTTGTAACAATAATCCCTTTTGTGACTCACCTTGGAACTACCTAAAGATATACTTTCATCTTGTCTCCCTTTCATGTCCTCAGTTGTTGGTACCCTCTAGGTAGACGGTAAGTTAAAACTAGTGTATGGTTATGATTTCATCGTCCATCTGTTATTTCTCCCTTTCATGTCCTCAGTTGTCGGTACCCTCTAGGTAGACGGTAAGTTAAAACTAGTGTATGGTTATGATCTCATTCTCCATCTTTATTGACACATTTTGTAACAATAATCCCTTAGTGACTCACCTTGGAACTACCTAAAGATACACTTTCATCTTCTCTCCCTTTCATGTCCTCAGGTGTTGGTACCCTCTAGGTAGACGGTAAGTTAAAACTAGTGTATAGTTATGATCTCATCCTCCATCTTTATTGACACATTTTGTAACAATAATCCCTTAGTGACTCACCTTAGAACTACCTAAAGATACACTTTCATCTTCTCTCCTTTTCATGTCCTCAGTTGTCGGTACCGTTTCGACGGACGTTAGAATGATTAACTACTTACATGTTTGTGTCTCTGCTCATTTAAATACTTATGTATTACTACCGGCAGGTTCTTGGCGTTTGGAGTACAGATTATATTCCTAAAGGAACGCGGTTTGGACCTCTGGTGGGCGAAATATACTACAAAGATGATGTTCCGACAAATGCTAACAGAAAATATCTTTGGAGGGTACTTTTTCCCCCTTTTCAAATCTATTTAATCGTGAAGTATGAATAGAATATTTGAATGATAAGCTAAAACTCACATTATTAAACCCTTAGAAACTGTTACATTTCTTGTTACATATATATTCAACGTGTGCAGAAATATTTTGTTTGATAATTCATAAGTCCCTTATAAAATAAAATAAGAATTAACAAAACTGAGTGAAAGGTATTACAACCTACGCGTTATAGTTTTAATTTTCCATCTATCTGACCACCGTTGAGTGATGTTAACATTATGTTTAGTGAACTTATACTGCATGTGCGTATTTATAAATGTTTCTTGTATCCAGTATTCTTAAAACTATATAGACATTTTGTTGTTTTCATTGTATTCTATATTCTGTATTATTGTCTTGATATGTCATTACTCCATTTTTTCCTTTCTTTAAACTAATTTTTCTGTTTGATGTATAAAGCGTTTGACTACAGTAATTTTGTTTATTTTGGTAAACAAGCATCCCTCTCAAACTATTAGGTTTATAATGCCTCCGCATCATTCTTTTACATCGACGGATATAATGTCAGCAAGTCTAACTGGATGCGCTACGTAAATCCAGCCTATTCCAGTGAGAGTCAAAACCTTGTAGCCTGTCAAGTCAGACAACAGATTTACTTTTATACTATAAAGCAGATTGCTCCAAAGCAGGAGCTCTTGGTGTGGTACAGTAAAGAGTTCGCAAATAGACTCAACTATCCTTCAACGGGGGAACTAATGTTTGAAACAATCCGTAAGTTGTTTCTCTCTTTAATTTATTATATCTATCTTCACTTAAATTTGTGTGTGCATTTTGTATTTGTTTGTTTGTTTTATTGTCATTCTGTTTAACATTTCAGAAAGGATTACAGAGGGTTGAGTACATTACAATAAAACAATTTTGATATGCAAATCAGCAAGTCACGTGACAATCATAACCGATACAAAGTCGCTTTGGAACAGCATGCATTACAATTACATTTTAACATTGTTTGTTATCGAAAATTGATCGCTTTTGGGAAGAGTATTTACAGCTTTTTCTGACGCAAAATATTTATAAATTCAGATCATAAGCATGTTTTCAGATCGGGGATTTAGAATATCCAAGACTTGTACTTAATGGATTTGGAAAACAAAATAATATGGATCTGTTTGGGACATCAGGACCATCCAGAAAGACACCAACATGCAACAAGTAGTAAGTATGCCAGCCATGGTAAGGAAATTTTGGTGTTTTGTAACAGGTAAGAATCCACGAACACAGAAGTAAGTAGCAGAAGTATCTATGTATCCCAGGCAACAATATGCAACATAATCAACAAGGATCTCCATCTGGAAAAGAGACATAAGTTACGTGTACATTAGGATCCTCCACGAATTATTTGATCAACCGTCACATTTCTCAAAAAGCTGCAGAATGAAACGAGTATTTGTATTCGTAAATTGCATGGCTTTTGGACAGCCTGCAGGGAGAAAAGTGTATTTTGGATACGGCAGCCTTATTATGGAACCTTTTGCAATGGAAACTACATTGAGGAACTATTGCCAAGATGCACGGTTGTCAGATAGAGCATGATCAAATGTGGCAACATGACATGGTGAGGCTTCAGAATTGTTTTTATATTACGTAGTCAACCTCTGTATTAAGTTATACATCTATATATTTTTTTTCTTGAATATTGCTTTATGTACATTTAATTTTTTTTTCTGTTTTCATCATTACCATTGTTTATACCTAACGTTTTAACTACTATGTTTAGATAACATTAAACTGGTCGTACATTCAGTCTGTATTCTATATCTGTATATATTTTAGAGTCATTTTGTATGTCTATAGTTAACTTTTCTTTTATTTCACTGCAATGCTCTCAGTTTCTTCATTATATTTTCGGTGTTATTGAAGCTATAGATTTCTATTTAATTTTAAAGCCAATTACCCTAAACTATCACAATATAGAAAACTTGTGTCCTAGGTCTAGATAGAGAGAGATGGACAGTCACAAACACTCTTTTTTCGATGAATTCAGTGATATAGATATTTTCAAATTTTTGCGCATATGGACTAAATAGCCATGTCAAAGAACCCTAAAGTTTAAATGTAGCAACACCTTATTTGAAAAAAAAACTGTCAACGGAAAAGGGAGCCAGTGAGCACCACGCATTGACACAAATATTTTGTTCACCTTTGAATCAAAAACGGGATTGACTGTCATTCTTATAACGCAGCAGCATAGTAGTACGAATCTTTAACTCTCTGATTCATTTCCCAGCATACTAGCCATTAAGCCACGCCTGGCCATTTACAATAAAAAAAAAGTCTGTGTACATGTGATATTTATTTACACTAATGTCCAAAAGATAGCTGTAAGTATTCTGTAATACTGTAAAACTAAGCAGAGAATGAAATATACGAAAAAAAAGGCAATTAATCACAAGTTAACAAAAATTAATTACTCACAAATAAGTGCTGGGGTCTTTACCATGTTTCATAGTTTATAAGCTCGTTGTATAGAGCTTTTCTGGCTACTGGGAATGGAAAAAGAATATTTGCCCAAGACGAAAACCAGAATTAAAATTATAATATATCACGCTGTTCAGTTAGAAAGATAGTTTCTTAGCGTGATATACCACAATTCTATACAAAGGAGAGAAACACCTAGCTTATACTAATTTGAACAAGCATTATACTACCCCGTGAAATTAGTACAACAACCCCATTGAGCAATTCTTGTAATGTGTAATATATTTTAGAAGGACGCCAACTAGCTGTGCGTAAATATAGACAATTTTACTTGAGTATCTACAATAATAAAAGAGCCTATGTGTGTGTGACCGTCATAGCTCCAAGAGGAAATAACTTAGAGACCTGAACTTTTGTACACACACTAAGGGGGTTCTGAGGGTATGCGCCTGGGTATTATTTTTTAGATTTGACTCAAAAAATCTTTGGCCCTTTGATTTTGCCCTCAAGCCCATAATTCTGCTTCCTGAACGTCTATAGAAAAGTATATATGTTTTTGTAATTCTCACTTACTGAATGTACAATATGTGGGAATTTTCTACCAAATACTATTGAAAAAGAACGAAATGGTAAACAAATCTGTCTAAATTGGGAAAAAATGGATTTATTTTACCAGAAATGGACAAAATTCAATAGGGTATGAGGCAAAACATTTCTCAGCGAGTCAAAGGCAACATGGAGAGAAATAAAGGCATCAGAACCTCCCAGGGCCCATGGAATAGACCGTCAGAAAACCAGAAAATGAATTTTAGCGCATGAAATGACAATAGAGTTGATTTTTTTTCTCGCTTTGTTTGTCTGAAGTTAAGCACAAAGCTACAGAATGAGCTGTTTGTGCTCTGCTCACCACGGGTATCGAAACTCGATTTCTAGCGTTGTAAGACCACAGAAATACCGCTGTACCACTGGGGGGGGGTTCTCGCATGCATATCAGCCTCGAATTGTATACGAAAACTTGGAAAATAAAGTTGAAATTACTTTCGATGTGTATTCGATTTTTTTTATATATAATAAAATTGATGACTTCTATAAGTTTCTGGGGAAAACAAAATATCTGAAAAGATTCTTGGCTGTATCTCATATCTGAAATAGGTTCAAGATACACACACACAGTCGACCAGTAAAATATCAATCTAATAATCCGGGTACTTTGGATAGTGTCTAAATAAGGATATGTTCTTTTTAATTATGGAAGAGTAAAATGTTACAGTTTTCTATTGTCACACTTCTGAGATTCTTAACTCAGAGCATTCCTTAGCGTTTATCTTAGAATTCTAAGTGTCGATTCGAAAGTTAACTATCACGGTACTGCTTGCAATCATCTCCTCAAATTACATGCACGCAGGAAGCCATGATACAAGCTCACAAGAAAGGTAAACTTGATTAACCCTAAAACTACCAATGGGGTTCATATCTCATTGGCTTTACACATACCTTTATTTCTAACCATTTATGCACCAATTGTTTGTGAGTCCATGAAAGTATTGTTTACACAGTATCTAATAGAAAATATGTTATATACAAATCCATACGAATCGCGAAAATAAGTGATTTCAACCTGCTATTTTTGGTCGCTTTTTACTCTAAGAATTTTAAGGGGCAAAACAACAATATTATCCAATATATATACAATATGCAGTAATGTAGTGTATCATATTAAGTGATCTTTCCTATAATATTATACTGATTTCTTTCACATGTACAATAGATTCGCTCATATAGTGCAAAACTCATTCCATTTTCAGCTCTCTTCTGAATTTATTCTTTAGTAACTTTGCAGTGAATAAAGTTAGGTTTGGGTCAAAAGTATGGCGGATAGATATATTATTGACAATCTTGAAGATGACTATGAGCTTAGCAGTGATTATTACATGGCATCAAGCAGTGAAAGTGAAGTAATTAATTTATCTGTTGATGAAAATGCTAGTGATAAAAACGTATATGAAAAAGAGATTGGTAATAAATGTTTTGACGACAATGACGAAAAACTGGAAGTGTAGTTTTCAAAATCAAGAAGTGAAGTGGATTACAACAGTGAGACAGTAGACAACTAGAAGAAGATCATCTGGAAATGTTTGCAAGTAAACATCAGGATCACCTACATATGTAAGAAAAAATACTTAAACAATGTTATCTATATTCAGTTTAATCGTGAAGAAGAGCATTAATGAAGCGAACAAAATGTTGTATTGAATAAATATTTAGGAATTTATAATATAAAAACTGCAGTTTTTCATTGATGTGATGCTACTAGATGGTGTTTCTGAATTATATAATGAGACAATTGAACTACTTTGGAATCGGGACAATGGTAGTCCAATTCAACTATTCCACAAGTACTGGAAAGTAACAGATTTAATTAAGTTTCAAGATGTCTTTGGTTTGATAATGCTGTTTATTAAAGAAAAAAGTAAAAACCGAAAAAAATCTGGTTATATTAAAAACTGTTTCACTGAATGGCACAGACCCCTTAGCAGATATTAGAAAATGTGAAAAATGATGGTAACTAGTAACATTTAGTAAGATATTTTATGTCAAAACAACGTATATTTCAAATAAAGTTTTAAAATATGACATTATGATATGGGCTTTTTGTGATAGAAATGCATTCTATGTTTGTAATATGCAAGTTTATGCAGGGAGAGAAGAAGGAAAGCCAAGGAAACAACACCAATGAGACAGGGTTCAACTGAATGTGGTCCAAAGGTTTAGACAACAGTGAATATTTATAGTTTATGATAACTGCGTTATAAGTTTGAAGGTAATCAAGAAATTACTGTACAGTAACAAAAAGTTGAATTACTGTCTGTAATGGTATTCATAAAAGGACGCGCCGTGTTTTCAACAATTCTTCTTTCAGTAAATTTATGGCCCTGACGTTACGTCGTCCAAATAAGGGAAAAATAATTGTGTTGCTAGGTTATATACAAGAAGTCAAAATTTTCAACCATACATGGTTAAAATTTAGTGACGTTCGAAGATTACAACAATACCAAAGGTGGAATGGATACTGCTGACCAAATGTTAAAAGGAAAAGTCATCTGGAAGAAAAACAAATAGCCAGTTGCTGTTTTCCAAAACATGTTAAGTGTATAATACCTAACTGGATTTGCTTTGTGGATTCATCTTGACCAGGAGTGGAATAAAGGAAGGTCACTTAAGAAAAAGTTTTTTTTTATGCAGCTGCTTTGAAAATAGCTAATTCAATTAAGTAAAAAAAGAAAAAACGTTGA